TCGCCCTTAATCATTTGGTCCTTCGAGCCGGATCGAGAATGGATTCTACACCCGAACAAAGCGGTGGTCTATCCTTCTCGATGCAAGAATTGATTATACACCCGAACGAAGCGGTGTTATATCTTTTCTCGCTATAAGAATTGAATCTACACCCGAACGAAGCGGTGTGTTTCTTTTCTCGCCAAAAATTCGTTTCCCTCAAAAGCGGCGGATACAATCAACACCTATACAACACTAACTACATACAACTTTAACAACATCGAGTGTGGTAATAGCAGTAAATCAACTCACCAACCACAAAACTCAACAACAACAAAATCTTCAAGAAATTTAATCACCGATCAACAACAACATTTTTCAAAGGACTTCCTCAAAATGCTTAGCTGCCAAGAAGCTGGATCAAGAAGTGGAGCCGTTTACCTAGCAGAAGGCTTACATTATTATATGTATTAACTGTTTACAAAAATCAACTGTCCCTTTAACTGTCCCTTTGGTAAAATCAGATTTAAAAAATAAAACTAAATGTATACATATTAAACCCGGCCGGGAGAATGTACAAAATACTTTGTACATCCTTTTGTGTGCGATTGAGGCGCTGGGAAAATCTAACAATTAAAAATAAATATTTAAACATTATCAGTTTCCCAGCGGTCATAAAATACCACATGTGTACAATTCAGTGATCTTGTGCGCTGTCGCATATGGTAATGTGTAAAATAATAAAGTCCATGACCCACACACACACACAATTATCGATGCGCCAGTAGGTAGCCAAGACCACTTGAATGAAGGGACAAACAGCTACGCAATGGTTCATTGTAAATCTAAAAATAGATAAGGACAATTGTGTGGCTGCGAATAGGTTAAGTTAGATCAGTTTTTGTAGCAGTTAAGAATAATATTTTTGAAAATAAAATCAGATTTAAAACAGCAACCCAAACGAGCGGTTGTGTTTTATTTCTCAGGAGTGAGATTTGGAACTGATCTCACTTGTACAACTATCTTAAGTTTAATTTTGTGGAATAATCCCAACAATCCATTCACGTTTTGTGATTTCCCCAATATAAGAAGTTTGTGAAATTTTGTAAAAAAAAAACAAAACCAATTATTGCATATTTAAAAGTCTATTTGACAATATAAGACTTCGGTACAGAGTTATATTTTTCTTAGATTCTGGAAGTTTAGCTACCTTTCTGGTTCGGCCATGGTCTAACGCACTAAATTTCAAATTTAAACAAATTCAAGTTTAACAGAACCATGGTAAAATTAAGAAGGTAAAATCATTTTTAATAAGTACACCTATTTCCGCATTTTTATACCCTCCACCATACTATGGAGAGTATATTAACTTTGTCATTCCGTTTGTAACTCCTCGAAATACTCATGTCAGACCCAACAAAGTATATATATTCTTGATCAGCGTAAAATTCTAAGTCAATTTAGCGATGTCCGTCTGTCTGTCTGTTGTAATCACGCTATCTTTCGAATGAATTGAGATAGATGGCTAAAATTTTGCACACATGTTTATTTTTCCAGTAGGCAGGTTAAGTTCGTAAATGGGCCATGTAGGTCCACGTTTTCATATAGCCCCCATATAACGGTACCTCCCTATATTAGGTATTTTGATGATTTTAGCGACATTATTCACGGGAATTGTTTCAAATTTGGTATTTGAAGTTCAAAATGGATACTACATCCTAAGACGGAAAATTGTCTGTGCAGGTCCACATCTTCGTATAGCCCCCATAAAACGGTACCTCCCGATATTCGGTATTTTGATGATTTTAGCGACATTATTCACGGGAATTGTTTCAAATTTGGTATTTGAAGTTCAAAATGGATACTACACCCTAAGACAGAAAATTGTCTGTGCAGGTCCACGTCTTCATATAGCCCCCATAAAACGGTACCTCCCTATATTCGGTATTTTGATGATTTTAGCGACATTATTCACCGGAATTGTTTCAAAATTGGTATTTGAAGTTCGTTATGGGAACTACAGTCTGTGACAGAAAATTGTCTGTGCGGGTCCAGGTCTTCGTATAGGCCCCATATATCAGTACCTCCCTATATTCGGTATTTTGACGATTTTAGATACAATACCCACCGAAATTGTTTGAGATGTGGTGTTTGAAGTTCGTAATGGATGCTGCAGCCTGTGACAGAAAATTGTCTATGCTGGTCCAGGTCTTCGCACAGCTCCAATTAAAGACACCTCCTTATATACGATATTTTGATGATTTTAGCTACATTATTCACCGTTTATTTCAAGTTTCGAATTTGAATATGGTAATGGCTTATGGCAAACATTGCCTATGTATGTCCACGTCGTATAGACCCCAATATAATGGCTATATTCGGTATTTTTAAAATTTTAACAGAATTTTTTAAGGATTTTATTTTTTAAAAATTTCCAAACTCGTTGCAAATGGTGTAGGGTATTAAAAGTTCGGCCCGGCCGAACTCACTGCTTTTTAACTTGTTTAACTTGTCAAATTTCACCGCATTGAAACAGGATCCCATCTTTGATTTTTGTATGTACAATGAATCTATAAATATATATTTTGACAATGAGACGTTGCCAAATGAATAATTTTGAATAAATTGTAAACATATGACTGCATGACTTTACCTTATTGATTCTACCATGGACAGAACTTATAATTATAAATTCTTAGGGCGGAAATACATAAAGCGCATATTTGGCTGGCTTAAGTCGTCGGCTGGCTTCTTCGTAGATGAAGCACTTTATGTATTCCCACCTTTAAGGCTTGGCATCATGGCTAAGCATATCAATGTCAAATTATAAAGGACTTCGACGGCAGAATTTGAGTGCGGCTCTATTTGCGCGTGAGTATAAATTGGAAAATGAATGAACATTTATTTTTCAACATCGATTGTCTCCATATTAGGTTTTTATGTGTATGATTTTTGGCTATTTTTTGCATTCTCTTTTGTCTGTGTATGTTGAGCGGAACATCAGCGACATTTATATCCTTCTAAAGGTGAGAATGCATAAAATTAGCAGTGAAATTATGATTATTTGAAATGAATTTACCTGCTTAATTTTACTATGGTTCATATGCTCCATGGTAGATGCATCAACGCTTGGGAACATTGATATGTCAAAAAAGTTTTTAATGTTTTTTTTTTCAAAAATAAATAGATTTCTATTTGATTCCTATACGACGCATATCGGAGTTTTTTTTACTGACTTGAATAATTGTTCATTCAAAAATTTCAATTCCAAAATTTGGTTTGACGGTTCATTGCCCAAGCAGCCGTGTGGATGCGAATGCCTGTATTCTTCTACCATGATATGCTCTATTCCATGGTAGAAGAATGCAGGTAGATGCATCAATGCTTGATATGTCAAAAAATTTTAAATTTCGTTTCAAATATAAGTAGATTTTTATTTGTTTTCTTATCCGACGTCATTCGGAGGATATTATAATACACGTTTTTCAACAATTTTTGCAAAATTTAAATAATTTTTCATTCAACATTTTCAATTCCAAATTTGGTTTGACAGTTCATTGTCCCAGCAGCTGTGTCGATGCATCTACCTATATTCTTCTATCATACTCTATTCAATAAATCGTTCAATCAAACTGGTTCGTTCGTTTATTATGCAACTCAAATCATCCATGGTGCAATAAGGAGGTAGAACAGCTTCGTAAAACTGCAGAAAACCAGCCCTGAGGCTTTGCCCGCTTCCTGTCAGTATTGCTCAAGACAATAGGCAACAAGTTGTTTTCATTTATTTGATATTTTTTGTTAATTTCTAAAATGAGTCAAATAGCGCGAAAGATGAATGAAATGCCTGGATGTTCTCTCAAAAATATGATCCTAAGTGTTCAATCTTTCAATTCCATGCCAAATCTCGTTAATATTATTAATGCGTGCCCCGCAATTTAAGTTTCTTCCAGTCATTGCTTTTGAACATATTTTGTTTTTATTTTTCAAAACAACAATTACATACACAAAATTGGCAGAAGTCGGGCACACTTAAATTGAAATCAGCTGGGAGCTCTACCTTACCTTTTTATTGTACCATATTTATTGTACAATATCAAACGTTTGCAATCGTTTCGTTCTGTATTTTCTCGAAGTATGAAATTCGTAGTATGATATTAAGATAACGGGACTTGTTTTTTTGTACTGTTTGCGTAGATAAGTGGAAACAACAAAAAAAAAAAAAAAAGAAAGAAATGTACTCAGCTGGGTGACGCAACATTGAAAAATTCATTGGAAACGTTTTCCTGTATATCAGCTCATCGTTCAATCGAACTAGTTCCTTCGTTTATTATGAAACTCAAATCAACGTACAAAAATAAACAATATCAAACGTTTTCCTGTATATTAACGCATTACAAATAAAGTAAAAACTAATATTAACATGGTACAATGAAATAAAGGTAATATCATTTCGAATTAGCTCCGAGCTCTGTATTTTCTGCAGTTTACCTTGTCAAATTTCAATGCATAAAAAGCAGTTCCACTCTATTTTTGAATATAGATTTTGACAATGAGATGTTGTCAATTGTATAAATTAAAAAAAAATAAACATACGATTATATGAGTTAAACTTCTTTGTTTTACCATGAATATTAATTTAAATTTATGCCTTTTAATTAATTTATTATATCCATCAAAATATGCAAAACAATACTTAGAATGGCAACTCTAAATATAGCAGTCATCATTTCGCACAGCAAACGTTTCCCAGCAATTCCTTCGCAAACGATACAGTTCACAAATCGTATTATTTGTGTATTTCTAGCATTAAAATGTTTGTGGTTTTGTTTTGTTTGGAGTACAAAACGATTGAACAAATTTTTAAAGATTGTGACTTCGTGTGAGCGGTACTATATTCGTTTCGTTTGTTTTTGTTTCCTGACTCAAATATTGGCGTCGCGTAAAATCAACGTGTCGCCAGAAACTTTTTCACGTCTGCGTCAACATACCGATGTCAGACACTGAATTTTGTGCTCCGCTATGCGTTTTTAAGCAGTGTCGACTTCGTTCTCTAATTCGTCATTTTGTGGTTAAAATTAATTCTGCAATACTTAGTTTGATATTGTGTAAATCGAAAGGAAATTCATATTGTTTTATTGATGCAAGCGCAACAAATGAACTGTGGAATATCAAATTAAAAAAATATTGTGTCCGTTTACATAAATCGCAAATAGTCTGGATATTTTTTACAAGTCCTGCACTTGCCTTGTCTTCGTTGTTAGTCGTAAAATCGCAGTACCAATCAAAATTCACGAACAGACGCAGCAGCAGGAATGTATCTAGTGACAACATCAGGAAAGTGACAGAGGTCCGGTCCAATAAGACTTTTGCTCGGATATCTTAAATATGTTTTTTGAAAAGGGATTACAAAAATTGCCTTAGTAAATGCAATTGCCCGAAAATAATTAATGTAATACGTGATTATTGTCCTCAACCGAAAAATATATAGATATGAGGAGTGCACTGCATCGTCCCAATCTGTTCTAAGCTTAAAGAAAAAAAAATCCGTCATTGCCCAAGAATAATTATTGCTTATTATGTGTCAACTTGAGCAGTTTTTCAGCTGAAAAGGTCTGTCTAAAATTTTGCACAAAAAATACATTACACATTTAAAGGCTTCACAGAAGTCGAGAGGGGTGTGCCGACTTCAGACAATTTGCAGCAGCAGCAGAAGCAGCAAAAATCAACAACAGTTGAAGTAACCACGATTTTTTATATTGGCCACATTTATTTGCATCAAACACCCCCGCTGCTTTCCCCCTTCATTGGTGGATTGCTCTACTCGGCATATATCTGCTACATACTATTCCAATATATCTCCTGTTAACTTACCATACTGAGAATACCACACTCACCATCACCATAAGTCGCCGCCGCAGCAGTAGCAGTACATTTTGTATGGTAGTGTTGTTGTTTTCTTCTAAGTGTGTATGTATGTCGTGTATGCGCCGAATTGTAATGGTATAGATCCCAGCGTAGCGTAAGAATAAGTGAAAATTGTCAAAAAGATACCTGTTGTTGGTGCGCTATAAAGGCGTTACCCATATTTTGCAAAGTTTTTCCTTTGGCTTTCCAAAGGCATTTGTCATATTGAAAGATAATAGAAGAAGAGTGAACGAGCTAACAATTTTATTAGCTATTGGATACTGGATATAAATCGTCTTAAGAAAAAGAAAACATAATGGCAGAGGCAGCAGGTGGTTCCAACCAACAACAACAGCAACCTAATAACAACGGCAGTGGTTCGGCGGCAGCAGCAGCAACACATACTGATAATCCCAATGCAGAAATAATTCGTGGACAGATTTTTGAAGTTGGTCCACGCTATCGCAATTTGGCCTATATCGGCGAAGGTGCTTATGGCATGGTAGTGTAAGTATTTGCAATTTTTAACTTACACACACACACACTTGACTACATTATCAAAAGCCTATGTATGTATGTGTGACAATCGTTCTGATAAAAGTATAAATTCCAATAATAACAAATGAATAATATTTTAAAATAAAACACTATGACTGTGCCACCTTCAAATTGTATAATGTTAGAAAATGGGTATAAAGGTTTTCTTATCTAGAGTATTAAAGAGTTATATGCAATTTTAATAGAATTGTTTTCATTCTCCAAACTTGTTAAAGTAAAGAAAATATTTTAGAACAGCACTACCCTTTCCAAAATTGTGCTGTATGTATTTCTATTGTTATTTCCTGGATCCATCGATTCGGATCTTCGTACAACCCAATGTTTGAAAAATTTATTGAATATAAAAAGAACGTCTGCGTAGCCGTAGCTCCAGAAAAGAAAGTCTCAAGCGCCGACCGATGGCGGCCTACTTATAATATTAGGCAATTTATAAAAACTTGGTTTCGCGAAGCCGTTATTAGATGTAACAGAGAGGAGAAAAACTACTGCAATGACCTTTGGTCCGGCTTCTGAAAGAAGCAACAAACTTGGCAAAGCATTGTTTTGCGAAGCCCGTGTATTAATATCCCAGAAGAGAAAACCTCAAGCTATGACCAAAGGGCGGGTTAATTAAATTATCATCTTTGGAAAAACGTTCGTCTAACCATTGTTGCATATGCCCTAGCGAAAAGAATCTTAGCTAAGCAATGCTTAAAACAATTTTGAATATGTTAGAGTGTCACCATAAGTATAGCATGAATATCGCGGTCATCATAATGAGCTTTTTCAAACCAAATATAAATAAGTATTTTCATAAGCATTCTTATGATATCTATATCAATTTGGCGGGATTGGGTCTCAGTCTGAGTTTTCAGCTACCCGGGTTGTCTGACAAGTCAAAACACTTTCTCGAAATCAAGTAAAAATACCTTCCTTCGGAAAAAGATAAAACAATCGGAGATTTCCGTGTGTTTCTCGTTGTCAAATGTCAGAATGTTTGGTATAAGTCCAGCAAAAGGACAGCAGTATATTTGGGTCTTTGATTACAACCGCGTCCTTCCTTATTTCCAATCTAAAATCTTTCTACATTCAATTCATCGAAAAAGTCCATACTGTCCAATAACCAGTGCAAGTGCATCCACATATCAATTTCATCATTTATTCTTGATTTTTACAAGAGTGTGTACTTGTGGAATGCTTGACTCTATTTATTCGTCATGTTATATGATTGATTCTGATGTCTGGTTAAAAATTCAAAACAAAATAAAGAAAAGTACATTCAATCCAAACAAAACCGAGGATTTTTTATATTGAAAATATTGATAAAAATGCGGTACTTTGGTAATACAACGTACAAGACATTTTACCATAGTGGGGAAGTTGAAGCAGGCAGATTGTGCCGTGGACAATCTGTGCTTAAGGCTGTTAGCCTTTGTTTAAACCTATTGATATAAATGTAAAAACACTTATAAACAAACATTGTTTCTATAAAAACAACAACAATGTTCATAACAGAGCTAATTTAGAGGATTCATATAAAATAAAAATATACTTTAAAAAATCCATGATTTTTGCTAGATTACACTGTGCAACACAATCACAGGGACGATACTGATTATGAAACTAAGCATTCACATTTGTAACAAAAATTCTTATAACTGGTGATAAGGTCAAATTTATACTTTAGAAATGGCTTGAATCCGCAGTCCTTTCTTTTATTAATAAGTTTATACAGCACATCAACATTTGCCACACCAGTGTATTCCACATAACCGGACCTTTAGATCTTATGGAGGCACAAAGTTATTTTTTTTTTCACAAAAGTCGTGTTACAACATGTACAGAAACGGTTACAACTTATACTAAAATTGTTACAACATGCCCTAGATGAAAGTTTTCGATATAGAAACAGTATATTTGTTAATATACTTATAATGCGGGTTAATCCTATTTTATTTAAAACTATCTGACATAGCCCGCTTCGCCGTCTCCTTGATTTAGTTTTTAAAGATCTTGTCTCCAACGATGGGACATTAAAACAAGCTGCGAACGTTTTTAAGTAACAATCAGATCTACTATTCATTCTTCGTTTACTTTTTTCCGATTTTTCCGATTTGCAGGAATAAATTGGGGTTAAAATATTGAGATTGACAGGTTATACTACTTTAATCTCTTAAATCCCAATTTATTCCTAGCTTTTTTCCTCTCAAAAAAAAAGTAATAAATTATTCCTAGTTAAAAGAAACTTACAATAAATATTACTTTCTTTCAGATCCGCATATGACACAAGAACGAATACAAAGGTGGCAATTAAGAAAATATCACCGTTCGAACATCAAACATATTGTCAACGCACATTGCGCGAAATCAAAATTTTAACACGCTTCAAACATGAAAATGTAAGTACATTTCATTTTATTTATTTATTAGACAGACAGTTACAGTACACTTATATACAAAAAATTCAACAGATTTTAGTAATTCAATTAATTTTAAAAATCAAATAAATCTTAAAAATTTAATTCAATGAGTAATATACCATAAGGTTTCAAAAAAAGCTCCGAAGGCTACACGACGATTCACCGTCTCCAACTAAACAAAAGGTCTTTTAAGGCAGTTGGAAAATGCAGCGGAATCATTGTTTTATTTTTTGAAAATGAGTAATTTACACATACCACCCTACATTTTGAATCAAGAAGATAAAATAAAGGCTCCTCAGCCCAACAAAAAGGAAACCCCATAATAAGCAAAAGCATCAGCGACAAATATATTGACTATATATTTAAGCGCTGATATTCAACCACTTTAAACTAAACAGAGAGCTGGAATAGCTTAAATCAATATCAATAAAACAATATCACAGCTCTAACAACAAAAGACCTCTCGCCAATGGAGGTGGAAAATTTAAGACATAACAGTTTACGATTTACGAGATGACCTACAGAATATAAACCTGTCACGAAGTAGAGAGTTACCATTTGACATAACATTATAATGACATTGAAGAATACGCCGACCAACATAATTGTTAAATGACAAATCCAGGAGATCATTAACAAAACAACAAATGTGAATTGGTGCCAGAGGATGACTTCCACCCTCTTTCTAACATGACAAGGAAAATACGCATCACGACAATTCAGTCTCCAAACCTTACATCATAGTTGAAACCAAGAAATCAATGTATTTATCATAAGGCCATTAATCGAAATCCACGATGAAAGAGACAAGAAAATAGAGTTCACCAATTCTTCTGACCTAGAAATATCAGCCTCTCTGAAGAAAACATGGATGTCATCTGCTTACAAAAACAGACAGCATATGCTATCAATGGACAAAACAAATTATTAATATTTTCATGATGTAGCGATATTAAATCTGAAGCGATTACAATAATTATTACTCTAACATTTTCAATATTGACTTTGTTTTTAAGCAAACTTTAAAGATTCGAGAACATTTTTATATTATTTATTTACAAAAAGAATTTTAGATAAAACAACAAACCAATTAAAATCTATATAATATATAGAAGACGATTAGCTTTTAGTGCACAAGGCAAAACATTAAAAAGTCGCGAGTTAGCAAAAATAAAGGGAAATTTACTCCTAACCAATTTATAAAAAAACGAAATTTAATGAAATACTAGAATTTTAATCCCTGAAATTTTGGTTACGTATGGAGATTTTCTCATATTTCTGTCACCGATTAGCTCTGAACACAAAACGAACTACTGTGTTTATTGCAAGCGTTAGTAAATTCCCCTTTTCTAGAGACGTGATGCAAAGCAATGGGTCAATGTGTGACATTCTTATTTGAAAAGTTTGTATATTTCAATGGTAGGTACGAGAAAACTATCAAGACCCATATCTCGGGGAATCTTTCAAAATGAAATTAGATTTTACCGCTTTTTATACTTTTTGCAACATATAATAATAAAACCATACTTTTTATATTTCCAGATAATCGACATTCGTGATATTTTAAGAGTGGACAGTATAGAGCAAATGCGTGATGTATATATTGTACAGTGTTTAATGGAGACTGATCTATATAAATTACTTAAAACTCAGGTAAAGTTTTACTAGATTAATTTAGCTAGAGATTGGAACTCTTTACTATCCAAGCCACCTAGCTTTCATTCTTTACCGTGGTTGTGCGTCATCTTCTACAAATCAATAACTTGTTAAATTTCAACTTTGTCATTGCAGAGGCTAAGCAACGATCACATTTGCTATTTTATGTATCAAATTCTGCGTGGTCTAAAGTACATACACTCTGCTAATGTATTACATAGGGATTTGAAACCAAGTAATCTACTTTTGAATACAACGTGCGACCTGAAGGTTCGTAAAACGCCTAACTGTAACTGGTGTTTGTTACATACATACATATTCTTTTTTTTATTTCAAGATATGCGATTTTGGTTTAGCTCGGGTTGCCGACCCAGAACATGATCACACTGGTTTCCTCACCGAGTATGTTGCAACTCGTTGGTACCGAGCACCGGAAATAATGCTCAACTCCAAGGGATATACCAAATCAATAGATATTTGGTCTGTTGGATGTATTTTAGCAGAAATGCTTAGCAATCGACCTATTTTTCCAGGCAAACATTACCTGGATCAATTGAATCATATATTAGGTGTTCTTGGCTCTCCTTCTAAAGAGGATCTTGAATGCATCATTAACGAAAAGGTGAGAAAGATCGCGAGAAATTTAAAAATTATTTAAAACTGTATTCCATATATTAATATTCTATTTTTAAATTTTTAAGGCGCGGAACTATTTGGAGTCACTACCATTTAAACCGAAAGTGCCGTGGCCTCGATTATTCCCTAATGCCGATGAATGGGCTTTAGACCTTTTAGGCAAAATGTTAACGTTCAATCCTCACAATAGAATATCAGTGGAAGAAGCATTAGCGAACCCCTATTTGGAACAGTATTATGATCCAGGAGATGAGGTAAATTATTGGTCTGTGTATATTGTTTGTTAAGCGAACGTGTTTGGGCTACATATTGTGAAGATATCGCTCAACTACTCAGAGAATGTCGTAAATCGAAATACTAATGATCAAATTTGCCATTTTCGCTTCTCAAATATAAGTTATCCTTGAGAAATAGGAAATGTCGGATAGAAAAATGCAATAGTTATTTTTTTAACTGAAGAAATGTTGACATTTTAGTCTAATAAGTTAGTCAATTCATAAAATATTGACAATAAAACAATATATGCCCAAGAAAAAACTGCACAGATATATCAAACTAATCTCATCTGCACATATTACAAAATATGGGCTTTATACTATAACTTAATATTATTAGACATATATTTAAAGAAACGTAGAAGTAAATTCATTGACATTACATTTTATGAATCGTAACTTCTCGGAATTTGCACATTCCTGAGCAACAAGATTAAGCGTAATTTAAAACATGAAAGATTAAAAGATATTAATGACACCGATAGCATACTATCGATCGCTCAAAAAAGGGTTTCTTAGAGACATGGAAAAACTAAGTTGACCATGGAAAACATAGGTGGCATCTATGGCACAAGGAGTAACATGTTTCCAACGTCAAATGTCCTTTATATATCATCATAATATAAGATATTCGTGTAACTTGTTTTGAACAACAGCATTGCCCCAAGATATTGTGTATTATACCCAAACTCCATCACATTTGGTCACAGTTTTCTAGAATTAATATGTTGTGGCTGTGAAAACGTTACATCACAGTTTTACATTCACATTCACAGTCGACAAAAAATAAAAACTTTTGCTGTGCTGCGAATATTTCAAAATTACACGACCTTGACTCGGCTGAGAATGTGAAATAATGGTCCAAAAAAAAAAAAAAAAAAAAAAACAAAATATATATATATATAGTGGAAATTGTAGAAAAACTTTAGAAAATGTACAATTCAATATTTTTTTATTGTTTAATTTATTGAATCTTTCATATATCTAAGTGAATCGCGGACTACAGAAATAGTATTACGGATATAATGTTGCTTTGTTTAGATACAGTTATATCTAATCATCCTGCGGACTACAGTAATAGTCTTATCGATTTCTTCACTAATCTTCCCGCGGACTACAGTAATAGTCTTTTCGATTTCTTCACAGAAGCAGCTTCCAATTTAGAAGTATAACAGTGGGCGACGTTCAATTGGCCAGACAAGAGCTGAAAATAATGAGAGCGTAAGACAAAAAAAAAATAAATAAACTATATGATAGAAAAAGTGTCACGTCTGCGCAGTCTATCGTGTCCTCCGAATAGTAGGAGTTGGCGGGCCAAGTTATTTGGGTGCTCGGGTAGTTTGTTTAAGTACTAGCGGCAAAGCTTCTTTATTTCTTCTTCAACAGTAAGTATATTTAGGTCCTTGTGGATGTTTGCGTTCCTTATGTACCATGGTGCACCTGTAATAGATCGAAGAATATTCGACTGTCTTCTTTGTAGTTTACTTACGTTAGAGGCACTAGCTGTGCCCCAGAGCTGTATGCCATACGTCCAAATTGGCTTTATTATAGTCTTATATAATAGGACTTTATATTCTAATTTAATAGAAGAACGTATACCAATTAACCACTCAAGATTGGCCTTTTTTAGTTTAATTTGTGTGATTTTTGCATCGATGTGTTGCTTCCATGTAAGTCTTCGGTCCAGGTGCATTCCGAGATATTTTACGGTATCTTTCTGTGGAACTTGAGTATTAAAGATTTTTATCGTGGGGCAAAGTTCACGTCTTAGAGCAAAAGTAACATGTATGCACTTGCTTGCATTTACCGATATTCTCCATTTTGTCAGCCAATTTTCGAGAAGATATACATGGTATTGTAGTTTTTCCGACGCAATCAGAGTATCCTTGTGTATGCTAATGAAAGCAGTATCATCAGCAAACGTTGAGGTTAGAGTTTCATTGGTTGTGGGCATATCGGCAGTAAATAACACGTACAGAATTGGTCCTAAGATACTACCCTGTGGGACGCCAGCCAATATTTTTCTCGAATTTGAAAGTATGTTTTTCGATTTAACAACAAACGTACGATTTGACAAATAACTACAAAAAAGTTTATGAGTGTTTTTAGGTAGAGTTTCACAAATTTTGTATAGAATTCCAAGATGCCAGACTCTGTCAAACGCTTGGGAAATGTCTATAAATAGCGCCGAGCAGTACTCCTTCCTTTCGAATGCCATTCTAATGTTTGTGACTATGCGGTGCACTTGCTCAATAGTACTGTGGTTCTTACGGAAGCCGAATTGGTGGTCGGGGATAATATTGCTATTTGTAATATGGGGAGTAAACTTCCTTAGTAATGTTGTTTCGAACAGCTTTGAGAGTATAGATAGAAGACTGATGGGTCTATACGATTTTACCTGCGTTGGATCTTTTCCAGGTTTCGGAATCATTACTATTTCAGATTCTTTCCATACAGACGGGAAGTACCCTACTCGAAGAATGCTGTTAAATATAAATAACAATAGTTTAACGGCCGGTGTTGGTAATTTCTTGAGCATGTTTGGAATAATTCTATCTTTACCCGGGGATTTTTTTAGTTTTATCGAGGCTATAGAACTTTCGATTTCTTTTAGAGAAAATCGTATTGGATTCGGAACAATGTCGTCATTTAAAGGTTGAACAACTGTCGATGGTCCGGGATTTGGGGTAAATACAGATTCAAGATGTTCGGCAAATGCGTTTACTTTTTCTTCTGTAGATCTTGCCCAAGTCCCATTTTCTAGGCGAATTGGAGATTCGTGGGCGATAGGTCTTCTCAAGTTTTTTGTGGCTTTCCATAAACTGTAGTCAGTTCTCTCTGTGGGATCCAGGTTATTTAGGAATATTTTTAGGTTTCGCTCTTCATTTAATCTGAGTGCTTGTTGTAAGAGTTTTTCACATTCTTTTAGTTTTTCCCGAAACCTAGGTGATCGGTGCTTCTGCCATTCTCTTCTGGCCTTCCTTTTATCAGACACGAGTTTTCGAATGGTTGATGGATTATAGGAATTATTTTCTAGTTTTGAAAATTTAGTGGGAGTGGCAACATTGACAGCAGTGTTGACTATCGAAGTAAATATTTTAACTGCATTTCTTCTCCGGACTTTAGAGGAGTGTTAAAATTCACATGTGTACTGACATATTTTTTGTACTTCATCCAGTTTGTATATTTATTTGGTAGATAATCCGGGGAAGTTGCGAGTTGAACATCATTTAATGTTATTATAGTTGGGGAATGGTCTGACGACAAGTCAAACCAGGGTACCACGGACATTTGTTCCCTCTTAATATTCTTTGTTACCGCAAAGTCAATTAAGTCAGGACGTTTTTGCAGGTCTGAAGGCCAGCAAGTAGGCTGGCCAGTAGATAACACGTCCAGTTTAGCGGACGAAATGGAGTTTAAAAGCTGTCTACCTCTGGGTGTAATAAGTCTAGATCCCCAGAAGGTGTGTTTGGCATTATAATCTCCAGCTGCAATGAATCTACTACAAAGTGATGAGAAAAAGTGTGCGAATTCATCTTTGCTTATACTATGTCTCTGAGGACAATATATTGCAGATATAGATGTATTCGTTGAAGATAGTGCAACTGTTGTAGCTTGTAGATGGTCAAACTTATATTCTGGCATGGGGTAATGCTGAATTTTATTAGAAATTATCACCGCGGTGCCACCGCAAGCTCTCCCACTAGGGTGTTTAGTGTCGTATGTACTGTAACCGTTTATTCTAAAACAGTTTCTAGAAGTGAAATGAGTTTCAGATACCAGTAAAATGTGTATGTTGAGTGAGTGAATAAAGTTTTCGACCTCGTGTTTATTCAAAATTGTAAGCTAAATTGAAAATATCGCATGCGATAAAAAATATGACAAAAATTGAAAAGAATTAACGAAAACAATTCATTTTTTAATGGCATAATTTTACGCGATTTTCTTAAATTCTATCCTTTGTAACGGTCAGAAGTGACATGTTCAATGACCAATGTAACGGTCAGAAGTGACATGTTCGTGTATTTGTGATTTTGTATTTTCTTACATAAAACTTATAGTCTATTGTGTCCGCTAAATATGGTCAATTTGGTAGGATTCTGCCCAACCATAAGCTCGAAAAGTCAAAAATTTTTCTGTTTTTGGTCCATTTCAACCCCTAAATCCAAATACAATAGGGTTCTATTCTGATCCTAACCCCACCTCCATTTTTATTTCGTGAGGATCGGGCCATAATTACGACTTGTAGCTTGATTACAAATTAACGTAGATAGACGGACGGACAGACATACATAGCTAGATAGACTCAGCTCGGCGAGATAGGAAGATCCATATATACTTTCCTATGTGGGAAACCAATATTTTGAGATGTTCATAATTTTTGTCCCAAACTTATAATACCCCCAACTCATAGTGTTGTAGGGTATAATTATTGGTAATATAGTTTTAAAATAGTTTGCGTTCATCTTTTTTAACACGATTTTTAAACTATAGTGATAACATTATCTACTTGTGGAGATTTCACAGCCACAGCACAGTCAGCGTTATCAGATGTGAAATAGGTCAGCAATAGTTGGGTTTATATCAACCGACAGAATTTGTATCTTGCATAATATAAAGAAACTCGACCTGCCTTAAACAAAGTTCGATAGAAATATTTATTTATATTTTTATCCAATTGTCTGGTGGGATTTTCCATTTAATGCCAATCCATTTAATTCAGAATAGATATCTTTTTTTTTCAAAGAAAAGCTTCTCACCTGCGATATTTGTTTTATTACTCTTTTGTAGCCTGGTGTAATTTTGGCGAAAATTTTGGATAAAAAATGTTATCCCTATATGATTGTCGTTAATTACATGAAGACAAACAACTCTCGAATATTTCGGAATACCTCTGATATATAGCCCAGACTTTACCCCCTTGTACAGCCATTTGTTCCGGTCGGTAAAGAACGCTCTTAATGATATACATGATATACCTAGATATGGTTTTAACAATTGCGTTCTTCATTCGTTCTTCTGAAACCAATGCAATTGTTGTTGGTCCGGAATCCATATGCAAAAAAAAAAAAAAAAAATATAGTGACTAACTAACGAATCTAATTGTTTTTACAAGAAATTTCGTTTTAATTTGTGGACCTAAAAATATATATACATTTTTTGTCAATTATATTATAGATATGCATTGTTCGGAATTCGACAAAAAAAAAAAATCGAAAATCTATATCTGCATTGTTTCATCACACCACTAATGAGATTATATTTACGAATTTTCTATTTTACAGCCTGTTGCAGAAGTACCTTTTCGCATTGGAATGGAACTCGATGATCTTCCAAGAGAAACCCTAAAGAAACTTATATTCGAAGAAACGTTAAAATTTAAGGAGCGCCAACCTGATCCCTAAACTGTTACATGTTCGAAAAAGTGATTCTGTATGTGAAAATAATACAATGAAAACGGCCATTTGGGATGAATTGGAAAACATTAAACATTGAAGAAATCAACAGCAGCAAAATAGAGAAAGAGGAAATAAGAAAACAAATAACAACAACGTAACCTGCATTTTTAATTATTTATATATGTTTTAGTAATTATAGTTTACAGAACATAATCACCATTACTAGTTCTACATGTATTATTGTCGTTAATGTTTGATTCGGCATTCGATTTGGCCCCTCCCCGCAATACACAAGACAAACGAATGAAACAACAACAGAATACTTGTCTGTTGATAATGCTACCGATGATGTTTCTACAAGAATGTGCTTCACTATCATTGTGATCTTAAACATACATACAAATACACACGCCCAACAAAAACCACATACATATATTAAATATATAAAAAGAAAAGAAAAAAAAAACAAAACTTACAAACATATATACATATATTAATTGTACTTTCTTTCCATCATCGTATTCAACATTTTCGTATTTCCGATAGTTCTTTTTAATTATGATACTATTATTATTATTATTATTTCTATTAAACGTTTTAACTAACAAGTAAGATACAAATCGAAAAAAAAAAACAAACAAGTATTTCTTCCTTTATTTTATCTCGGGTTAAAACATGTTCAATAATTCTGTGAGTGTAGTTAAATTAAATATGAAAATCTTATTAATTACTATTATTATTATTATTGTCTTCATAACAAAGTGGAAACGCAAAAACAAAGTAATTTAAAAAAAAAAAATAAAAATGCACACATTTGTATTTTTAGCATTTTAAAAATTGAAGCTAAATATAATTACAAAATAATAATGCTACAAAAGTATGCAAAATTCCGTTTTTAATGTCTTGAACGAAAGAACACACATACATAAAATATAGAAGAATCTTACTATACAATCATACTCAAAAACACACACGCAGACACACACGTATTCAGCAAGGAAATAAACATCTAACAAATCTTTAATTAATTTCTGCATATTGTTCGATGATTATTATGCTCTTAGTATTGTACAATTAAAGAAAACCGATCATGAACGTTAGATAAAATATATTAAACATGTTTATGTGGTATATATGTATTTACATATGGATGTCTCTGTTTTCAAGAGACCCCAAGAGTAGTCGCTCATCTGCCCAGGCTAATTAGACAATGTAAATATCTACGCAAAGTCAAATGCTGTGGATGATCGATCCAATCATGAGTTCCATTGGATGACAATTGAACGTAGATAGACAGACGGCGGATGCGACGAAATAAAGTTTACTAAACCGACCGATCACCGCTTGACTGTGTCAAGTATATAGATATCGCACAGTTGTCCCTTTCTCAAAAGATAAATTAATAATTCAATATATTAGATGATTGTATTTCGTATCAAACTGTTTTTAATATTCATATTTCGTGAGTAAATAAGAAAATCTAGTTTATTATAAACGGCTTTATCTTTCTGTGTGTTTCGGTAATATATGTCCTTTTTATTTGTATTTATTGTGTTTGTATCGTTTTTTTTTCTTTTTCTGGAAATACTACATGGAAACATTTAACAAATATGTCAAATTAACATCACATGTATGTTGAACTGAACTAATTACAATATGGATTTCGTTCAAATAAGACTATAGTTTGGTAAAACAATTCATTACTGATTAATAAATCGATCTCAAACTAACTGTGTATTGTTCATTGCTGTTCGTGCTGGCCTTAAAAGAAAAATATATCTATGGGACTTGCCAATGTTGTCGAACTTTTTTTTAAGTTGTTTTAGGTTATATTCTATGCCAATCATACCATTGGCAGTCTAAGGAATGGTAGTAAATTCTTTTCGGCGTATAATACATACATCGAAAGAGTCGTAAACCTAGGCAAATAATAACCCAACATACCAAATTGACTTGAGAATAATATTTTAATAAGCTTTCAAACATAAGCCTTAAGCTTGAGAAAATCTTGAGAATGTATTGAGAAATGCTTGTTTAACAATTGTAGAATAATCGAAAGGGAACCCTTATTCATAAGCTTATTCTTGTAATTGCAGAATAAGCTTACGAAAGTAATATTATATCAAGCTTATTTTTTCAATGGTATAAAATATTTATTTTTTAATTTTTTTAATTATTTTACACATTTCATTCATTGATCGCCATCCCAGCTGTCGCTGCCTCCTGTTGCATTGATACCTAGATGCTTTCTTTCCCCTTATTTGAGCTTCCGCATCTCCTCCACTAATTCTTCACATCTCTTGAATTCTTGCAACTTTTTGACGCCTCTATTCTGAAATAAGATTGAAAAAATATACACTACAGATTCCCAGATTTATTATTCATCATTACCTTAGAGTTTCGTCCAGAAATGGGTCTTAAATTCGCGTGATTTTGATTTTAACCAAAGAAAATATTTTTTTTTGTCGACAATTTTCACAAAAAAAAAAAATCAAAACAAATTTGTCAACAAAGGACAGATTTGAGAAAAGTTTGTGCAAAAAAGTTTTTCTCTAGCAATGTTGAGGAATTCCTACGTTAAACTATTTTCATAATATTATTCTCAAGCTGTATTGTATTTTTGGTATGTTGGGAAGGGGTTTTAACAGAAACACTGCGTTTGAATATTTGTTAAGCTTATTATAATTGTTAATGCCCACATGTTTATCATCTGACAAATCGTTCCACACATTTCATAAAGAGTAGCATTCTGTATGTTTGGAGGCAGTAAAGCGATAATGCAGTTGCTTTTACAAAAAAAAAAATTGTTTGCTGTCTATGTTCATGTTTTGATTTGGAATTAGGAGTCAAATCATAATAGTTTAGAAACTACTAAGTTTATTATCAAAAGTAGTTTTGCGCATGGTACAATAAGGAGGTAGAACAGCTTTGTAAAACTACCGAAATACAGTCCTGAGGCTATGCCCGCTTACTGTCCGACAAGTTGTTTTCATGTATTTGATATTTTTTGTTCATTTTTAAAATGAGTCACATTTCGCGAAAGGTGAATGAAATGTCTGGATATTCTCTCAAAAATGTGATCCTAAGCGTTCAATTTTTTAATTTCGTGGCATAGTCACGAGTCAAAGTATTTTTAATGCAAATCAATTCCATATTTTCACATTTTTTGTAAACAATTTAGCAGTTTCCAGTGGAAAGGCCTTAAATTTTTCGACATTAATATTGCTTGTAACAATATTGGACGCCTGTTATCACAGATAAGCTCACATTTTTGAAAAATCCTCTCGCAGTATTCCCGTCTTTTAAAGATCCGCTGCCTGCTTGCTTTGGGTTATATACAATTAAACCCATTTCTTCTCGAAATTTCAATTGGATTTTTTCTTTTTGGAATTGATTTTTTCCTTCTAAGTTGACCTAATTTGCCATATTTTAATTTCTAGTCTGTAATAAAAGAAGAAAAGAATGTACTCAAAAAAAAAAAAAAAACGAATATATGCATGAAGAGGCGTTAATCCAAATTCATAACTATTTGTTTGAACCTCTCTTTGTAAACAGGCTTCAATATTATTCATTTCTTTTGGGCTTGCATTACATATATAGCATTTAACTGATGACGTCTGAGTCAAGGCATTACACACCGTCCATCATAGTAAGCTGTAATTTATGATCAATGTGTAATATTTTAACTTCTTTCTTAATAGTTATGGGATTTAATGGACTTTTTTTTGTCTTTGAAGTACTTTTCTTCTTCAATGGATACATCAATAAGACAAACAACATATAATGACAAAGATATATTCTATGTCACTTGCAACATAAAACTGACAAAATTGCGGCGAAGTCACTTCAGTATTTTTGGCATAACATACACATCTGACAAAATCTGAGAGTTAAATTAGCACTTTTAGAATTTTATTACCATTACTAACAGCGTGAAAAATCTCATTGAAGGATTAAGGGGGAAAACAATTAAAACTTTAACTGAAATCCAATTTTATTGTCAAAATTAATCTTAAAGGCAATTTAGAACCCGCACATCTTCTATATTATACACAACCACTAAACTATACTTCACTAAAAATAAGTCAATACTTTGCTTTTCAATAATTATGCCAAGATTTGTCATTTTGAAATGTATTTAATTTTGTAATACAGTTCTATTTTTAATCCACTTTTGCACTGATCCAATTGAAAAAAGAAACTAACTACATTTTCTCTTTTTTATGCAATTCTCGAAGTGGGCCGTCAGAATAATGTCATGATTATTATGTTTTCTAAAAAGTTTAACCCCTTAAGAGTTCATGTGTACACATTTAACAATAAATATCTGATTTTCATTTTTTGAATTTTGGCCAATGTCAACGACCACTGTGCGTTGGTACAACTTGGAGGGTAGCCAAGTTGTATGCTTCGGCCACGAACGATACAATTTTGGGTTTAACTCTAGTTTAGTAAAAAATCTTCGATTTTTTTTTCGAATTTTTTTCCAGAAATAGTTATTTTTACCCTGATCCCGGGGAACTATTTTTTTCTTGGGGGGGGCGGACACGGGACCTCAGATTTTTGACCCGAAAGTCCGGGTTCAAGACCCCGACTAGAAAAGTATCAAATTTAGAAAACTTTGGTTCCCGTTAGCCCATATGGGACATACCCAGAGCTAAATTGTCTATATCGGGTAAGTGGATCCGGGTCCAGTCGGGGTCTTGAACCCGGACTTTCGGGGGTCCCGGGTCCATCCCCAAGAAAAAATAGTTTCCCGGAATTAGGGTAAAATTAACTACTTCTGGAAAAAAATTTCGAAAAATTCGAAGAGTTTTTACTAAACTAGAGTTGTACCCAATTTTGTGTACAACTTCACTTTTTGAAGAGTTCATATGAGTTAAGATGGCACCGGGAATAATTTCATGTTTTATAATTGACTCAATAGCTATCAGGCATGTCACATAAAAGAATTCGGTATAAAAGTGATTTTAATTTCGTATTTAGCTTCTTCAGAAAATGTAAATCGCAACATTTTTCCGACTTGAAACCACTTTTGTTTTTGCAAGTGAAATTGAATTTTTATGGAAATTTGTGACTTTTAAACACTCTCAAAATACTTTTAAGTAATAAAAATGTTGTCTTAATGACAAAAACAAAATTAAATTTACATTTTTAATTTTTTCATTCAAAAAAATTAGCAAATGTTAACGGTTTCTCAATTGACAAAGGCAAGTGTTAACAAAGTGTTGCCAAATCACTTTTTTCGTCAAACAAAAATTATTCATCTGTGAAAATCAAACAATAGGTTACTTTTCCTGCAGGAATTGTCCAGCAACATCTTTCTGAGAGAGAAAGGAGGTTTAATTCTCTTTTGCAAGGAAATTGCAGAAAGTAAACAGACGGTATTCCTGCAGAAGCTTGCAACTAATCAGCTGATTTGTCAAAACAAACCAATTTGTCCCCCATTAAAAGAATTAAAGGAAAGGAACCACCACCAATTTCACAAGTTTTATAATTTGTATAATAAAAAGGAAATTGACAATAAAATAAAAATATGAGTAATAAAAGGAAGATAGATATGATGTGTTCCGTGGAATCTTTTAAACCTGTTGCTAATGGCATTTGTCTAAAAATGCTGGAAATAGTCTTTTATTTTCTTATTACATATTAATATTTACTTTTTTCACATTTTGTAAAGTTGTTCTCCAAAAACCATTAGTCTTGCTAATTCCAAAAAAAATATTTTCAAATTAAAATCACAGAAAGAAATAAATAAACAATAGAAAACATCTGATTGAATGTCGATGAATGAGAAGAAGAAGAGTTGCAAGAGATTGCACCTGTATTCTTCTGACATGGGTATTACGAATAATAAACCGAAGCAAAGAGAAAAAACCAAACAAAAAGAACACACAAAAAATATTTTTGTACAAAAATGCATTTTAAAATATGTGAAATATGGATTGTGGAATGCTGTTTAATCAATTAATCATTAATTAATATTCGGTCCGAAGCACCTCTTAAATTCCTCCGCAAAAAAAAACTCTCATTAACAGAATATTTTTCACAAGTTACACTTCTACAATGTTTTCTAATCATGTGTTTTGTTTTGATTCCTCATTCATTCGTTCTTTCATTTACCTAATGTTACCATATTGAATATATAATGTTGCCATATTTACACTGAATTCGTAGTTCACCAAATCGTACGAAATCTGAAGAAGATAAAACAAAATTGCGAAATTCACCATTTCGATACGATTTTGTGGCATGCCTGTATGTCGGATATTACAATATTTTAAAAGATTATGAATTCTTACAATTTTTCTAAGGTACATGACGTTTCTAACATTTACAACATTTCGACAGTCGAAAACCAAAACCCTGCCAATCGGACAATCTCTGAGAGTCAACATTAAAGTTGAAATAAAAAAATAATTTAAGAGAACACCCCTAAGCTCCAGAGTGATCAGCAATAATGGTAAGGTTAGCGTTCCATTAAGTGGTGATTTAGATCGAATATGAATAAAAAATAACTACTTTTTTGGGAGAAGTACAATAGGATCAGATCTATCTTTGGTTTAAACTATTGCGTATTGTTTTAATTGCAAAATGTTGTGAAGATTCAGAAACAATTTGAAATGAAAAGGGGTAAAGGAATACAATTGTGCATGCCTAAATTGTTGAATTGGAGAGTATAACTCCACTGTTTTTAATTCTTCATGGACAAATTCATATCAAGAGTCGATATTATAGCTGGTCTGGTCGCTTATTCTGTTCTGAATGAATGAGATCATTGTAGAATGAAATAAGGTAAAGTTATTTCAAATAAGCATTCCCATCTTTGCATTTTCTGTAGCTGAGCTTGTCAACTAAATCTTTCAAATGAACTGTCACAACAAAAACAACACTTGTCTATTTACATTTATAAACCATTCATATATTCAATCAATTTTGTGAAATGAAATGTTTGTGGCATATATTCAGAATGGTCAAAGATATTAGTCGGCTACATCCATGATTAACCCAACATGTGTCCCAAGAAGTACGTATTTTTACCGAAGATCGACCTTTTTATCTTGATTAAAACAATATATATATATATATATATATATATATATATATATATATATATATATATATATATATATACATATATATATATATATATATATATATATATATATATATATACATATATATATATATATATATATATATATATATATATATATATATATATATATATATATATATATATATATATATATATATATATATATATATATATATACATATATATATATATATATACTATCTGGCCCAGTCCGCGTTGCCGGCCCGTAGTTTTAGTCTTTAATGCATACTTTTTAAAGCATAATAATTCACAAATCTGTCTCACATAAGTGACACAATTTTTTGCATATATGATGACTCCACTAAATTGAAATAAATACGTCTTTCAAAAAACCTGATCCTATTTTTCACTAAGAGTCTTTAATTTGAGAGTTAAAAACGTAAATAATAATCAAAAATATAATCAAAACCCTCGAAAAAGGTAAAACCTTGAAAAATCATTGTACTTTTATATGAGCCCTACTTCGAAACATTGACATTGAAAAATTTACGCGAAAGGACTTTTACCAAAAGCTAGATGCCAAATAAAGGCAAAATCAATTGCAAAATGTGACCAAGACCCTGGTAATAGCTAAAATCACCAGATACCTTCACATAAGAATTATTATGAAGCCTGGTTCTATACTTATAATAATTTGAAAGAATTTGTTTTTCTTTTTAAAATCTCAAATTACCAACATTTGAGGAATTTGAAAGGGGCTATATCACAATATAGACCAACCTGACACATATTTTGTACAAATGATTCCCCATGTAACCCCTAGGACTGTATCAAATTTAAAACTTTGTCGTAACTTTTGCGGAGTATAGGGCAAAATATTTGCGGTCCTTTGCGTATGGTTAAGCTATATAAAATGGACTTTTTAGATCCGGGAATTCCTCTTTTGGGATTTTTATTTACCAACCGAAAAATTTCCTAACACCAAGATTATCTGCGGCGTAGTGTAATTACTGACGATAGCGCATAGTGCCTGTATTATGTTACTTGTGATTTAAGGTTACTTTTAATGGTTCGGAAGAATTTTCCGAGTATATGATCCTTTTCTTACTATATTTTCAATTCACTCCATTATTTTGTATAGTCCGCATATTACAGTGCCTCTTCATATTCGTTATTTCACTGATGGAACTCACAATGAATTTTGCATTTGGAGTTCTCTTTGGATGAATTATTTCCATATCTAATCAAAATTGAAAATTTGGGTATGGCAACCATATAACAGCAAGTATAGAAAATATGCAAACTTTCTCGATTTTTTTCGGTTTTTTTCAATAAGAATTTTCAATTCAAAAAGGAATTCTGAAACAATTCTACACAAAATTCCATATCATAATAGAACAGCAAATTTTTTCAGTTCCGCGATTTTTCTCAAAATTTTCCTTGATGACAACGTTTCCAGTGTAATGACAAATAACCAGAAGAAAATTTGAGTCAAATCGGCCCAGCCGTTCTCAACAGATGTGATACCATACTTTTCCATATTTCTTACATATAAATTCCTTCATGATTTTGGCAAATATTAGGATTTTTGATAAATCGAAAAAATGGGCGCAAAATTGGGCGTGTTCACTTTTTCTTTGCATAAAAACCGAAAAAACAGGTAGGACGAACATTTAAAAAAAATATCCATAATATTTCCACTGACAAAAGATCGGATATGAAGAAAAGATTGAACGGACGACTCCTGATGGTACCTTCCCCACGGGTCAAAATTTTGAATAACAATGACGCCCATAAAAGGCAAATTGAACGGCACACCCTTAAATTACCATCAATACAGGATCTAGTGTGGAAATGGGATACATCGGTCCTTCTGGTTCCTCCCTCCCTAAAATGTGGAGAGTGTTTTCTTCAAATTTCATACCTTTTTCATTTTACTATGAATGAAATGAAGGTAACCTCATTTCAAATTAGCATTCCCAGCTCCGCATTTCTGTAATTTACCTTGTCAAATTTCAATGCTAAAAAACAGTTTCCATCTCTGATTTTGTGTGTATACAATGGAATTATGAATATAGGTTTTGACAATGTATAAATTTGAAAAAAAAAATGTATAACCATAGGTAGTATCTAAAGCAACCCAGAAACGTTGGACCTGTAGGCAAATAGTCACTTTCAGGCGTATGGGACATTTGTAGAACGGTTGTTTAGCCATCCATGCCAGCGGTAGGATGCACCATAGTTAATTTAAGACGTCTTACACGACATTGTTAAGTATTATTTAAGTTTTTCCTTTGTTCCTACTCTATTGAGGGAAGTAATTGTGGTTTACATTTCCAACTGACCCCCACAAATTCAGTTGTAATCATAATGCTTATTACAACGCATGGTAGAAGAATACAGGTAGTCGCATCGACACAGTTGCTGGGACAATGAACTGTCAAACCGATTTTGGAATACAAAATTTTGAATGAAAAATTATTAAAATTAGTCAAAATTGTTGAAAAATTCATATTTTAACAACATCTGATTTGCGTCGTATAAACAAACATTTAAAAATCCACTTATTTTTCATAAAACATTTTAAAATTTTTGACACATCAATGTTCCCAAGCGTTGATGCATCTTTAAATAAACAAGTTGCTTTGTTTATTTAATAATAAACAACTTTTTGCAATTATTTTTATAGTAATTCTGACATTACAATCTATACTGGTAGGCCTCTTTACTTGTAAAGTGTTCAACATAACCTACCTTCTCTTCATTGTACCATGATGTGACTCTTTTTTCCAGAGCGATCATCGACCAAATTCCATTTTTTAAATTAATATAGTTTTGCACTCAAAACAAGCCCACAAACATTTTAATGCTGAAAGTGCGCAAACAATAGGTTCGTTCGTTTATTTTCCCAGTCAAATGTACTCAGTAAGAAGTTATTGAGAAAAAATACTATATTTTCTCTCGATAGGAAAAAAATTGCAAACGGTAAACGAACAGCATCTTGCAAAATATTCGTAAGATAACAGCTGATTCATCAAAACTCTGATAGATAGTAGGTGTGTCTGGTTACTTTTCCTGCAGGAATTGTCCAGCAACATCTTTTTGAGAGAGTAAGGAAGTTTTATTCTCTTTTGCAAGGAAAATTCGAAGAGTAAACAGACGATATTCCAGCAGAAGCTTGCAACTAATCAGCTGATTTGTCGAAACAAACAATTTGTTCTCCATTAATAGAATAAATAGAAAGGAAGCACCACCAATTTTACAAGTTTTATAAATAAAAAGGAAATTAACAATAAAATAAAAATATGAGCAATAAAAGAAAAATAGATTTTTTGTGTTCCACTGAATCCTTTAAGCGGAATCCTTCAAAACGTTGGAAATAGTCTTTTATTATATATATATATATATATATATATATATATATATATATATATATATATATATATATATATATATATATATATATTCCATATATTTATATTTTTCTACAAAAACTATGTATAATTTGTTTTCTTAATGTTAACGGAGCAACAATGCGTGCATCCCCCACGCATGTCTACAATCGTTGAAGTCTAATCAACGACTGAGAGCACCGCAAACGTACTGTTTTGCTCATCTAAGGCCTAAACACAGATTTTAAACCAATGATGCACAAAATGAACATTGCGCTTGTGTGTGTGAGAGAAACCAAAAAGCTCGTAAAAAATATCTCCCTTCTTGTTTTGGACGTTTTGTAACAAGAATTTTAATTTTATGTTAGCAAATTAGCAACATTTAAGGAATTTGAAAGGGGTTATATCATTTGTGGGGGCTATATCACAATGTAGACGCACCTGATACATCTATATATATAAAAATCAATTGTTGTTCGTTGGTAATGGAATCAGTTGAGAACGGCTGAACCGATTTGCATAATTTTTTGTACAAACGTCCGTCATACCCCGAGTTAGGTTTTAAAAATATTGACCACCCCTAGTTTTACGCCCACTATTGCGATTTATCTAAAATCCTTATATTTGCCAAATAATGAAGATATAGGTTTTAAAATTATTACACGACATACTGTTGACCTTTCCTCTAATCCTAAGTATTTATTTGAGGGCTGAGGAACAGACCAAGCCTACTTTTTAATCTATTTATAAACCAATTTTTTTCGTTGAACAGTTGGGACCGGCTGGAACTATTTGGATATTTTTTTAGATCTTCGTCCTACCCCGATTTAGGTTTTTTCGATTTATCTAAAATCCTAATATTTGCCAACATGAAGATATCTGTTCCACAGTTAGTATACGACGTAATCTTGACTCTCCCTCCAACCCTAGCCATCTGTTTGGGGTCAGAGGAACTGGCCCACCTATGTAAATTTATATGTAAAAAAATTGAAAAGATATAGTAACACAACAGTTGAGAACGGCTGGGCCAATGTTTGTTTTAGTTATTTGTAATTACAGTGGAAACGTTGTCAAGAAAGAACATTTTGAGAAAAATTGCGGAACTGAAAAAATTGACTGTTTTATTATGATATGGAATTTTGTGTAGAATTGTTTCAGAATGCCTTTTGGAATTGAAAATTCTTATTGGAAAAAACTCGAAAAAATCGAGAAAGTTTGCATATTTTCTATACATGCTGTTATATGGTTGCCATACCCAAATTTTCAATTTTGATAAGATATCGAAATAATCCATCCAATGACAACTCAAAATGCAAAATTCATTCATCATTGGGACTTCAATCAGTGAAATACCGAATATGAAGAGGCACTATAATATGCGGACTATATAAAATAGTGGAGTGAATTGAAAATATAGCAAGAAAAGGATTCATATACTCGGAAAATTCTTCCGAACCCTTAAAAGTAACCTTAAATCATAGGTAAGGTTATGCGGGCACTGTGCGCTATCGTCAGTAATTACACTGCGTCGCAGACAATCTTGGGGTTAGGAAATTTTTCGGTTGGTAAATAAAAATTCCAAAAGAGGGGTTCCCGGATTTTAGCTATTGCCAGGGTCTTTCAATCGATTTTGCCCTTATTTGGCATTACATGTGTGTTAAGGTTACTTTTAAAGGTTCGGAAGAATTTTCCGAGGATATGAATCCCTTTCTTACTTAATTTTAAATTCGCTCCACTATTTTGTATAGCCCGCATATTACAGTGCCTCTTCATATTCGGCATTTCACTGATTGCAGTCTCAATGAATTTTGCATTTTAAGTTCTCATTGGATGGATTTTTTCCATATCTAGTCAATTTCTTGGAGTTTTGGATCTCAGATTCCATGGTACAATAAAAAGGTAAGGTTGAGCTCCCAGCTGATTACAATTTTTTTCTAAGTGTGCCCGACTTCTGCCAATTTTGTGTATGTATTTGTTGCTTTGAAAAATAAAAACAAAATATTTTCAAAATCAATGATTGGAAGAAACTTAAATTGCGGGGCGCGCATTAATAATATTAACGAGATTTACCATGAAATTGAAAGATTGAACACTAAGGATCATATTTTTGATAGAACATCCAGGCATTTCATTCATCTTTCGCGTTATTTGACTCATTTTAAAAATAAACAAAAAATATCAAATAAATTAAAACAACTTGTTGCCTATAATTTTGAATAATTCTGACAGGAAGCGGGCGTAGCCTCAGGGCTGTATTTCTGCAGTTTGTTGCGTTCATCCTCATTGTAAAATTTTTATAATGTGCAATTTAATGCACCGAACGTGCTGAACGCCAGCCAAAAAAGAGAACCGGATACGCAGGGCGGCCGGCTAAATTTTAAAAAGTGATGCCAAGTTTCATGTTGTTTATTGTACAACATGAGAGACGTGTGGCAAAAATACAACACTGGGGATAATAGTGGGTAGGTAGAACACCTGATAAAGGTAAATAATAAATGTCAGGGAAATTGTGGGAAAATCTTGGAAAAGAGGGAAAGTTTGGTTGAGCGTCCTTGGTGGCCGTATATAAAGCACAGAGAGGGCGAAAAGCGCCATTATTTCAAAGTGGTGTGGAACAGAAACAGTTCAGTCAATTTTTAAATGTTTTTTTTTGTGAATAAAAAAAAAGGAAATACTGAATTGGCAGTTACAATTTGTGTGTTTTATTGTTTTATTTGTGTGGCGTATCTAAACAATTTGTAAGTGTTGATTTGTAAGTGGTGTTATGTCGGATGTGTTGTGTTAAGTTTTTGTGTTCTATTTAGGAATAACGCCGCGCATAAATCCACAATTGGACAACGCCATCCGACTTGGACGAAAAAGAAGCGGGCATCCCCAACAATTATTTTTGTATCGCCAGGTGCGGCACAGGGGTTCCAGGCAACGAAAAGGTTCTGGAAACGGCCAAAAGACCTGGGATACTGCCAGTGAATAGCCCTTGGAACAGGCAACATTACCAATCCGGGAAGCTAACCAGTAGATCCCACCTAAAAATCTGTAAAAAGAAGATAAAAAGTTGCCTAAGTATGCCGTTGTGAAGGTAATGTAATTCAAAATTTAAGTTACTTACCAAAGAAAAGAAAGAAAGCCAAATCCCGCCAAAAAAAAAAAAAAGTCATATGAAGTTCCTTTTCCTTTGACGGAAACACCACTGAAATAAAAAAAAATATGAAATTCATCAATTAATCCGAATTTGACTAAAAGAAAAAAAGAAGCTATAAAAAAATATTTGTTTGTTAGTGTGAAGTTTAGTATATAAGTTAAACGTATTGTTTGTAGTTAGATAAATAGTGCTTAAGATACAAATGTGAGGAAAATTAATGCCCATTAAATCTTATTGTTAGTGAGTGTAGGGTTGCCTCAAAATTTTACAGCTAGAAAATTTCGATTTTTCTGTTTGGGACAAGGATTTGAAATGCCCAAAAGATTTGTCTAAGTGAGCTCCTTTAGGCAGAAATTTAAAGTACTTGTATTGGCCAAAATTGGCGCTTCTAGCAGGGTAATAAAAAAGGTAATCTGAGTATTGACTCACAATTTTTGTTTTTCGTTCGGGTATTAATAATCCAGTTTTTTTTTATGTGTTCGTGTTGAAATTAGTTTTAAGAGAACGATAATGATTCTAATAAATAAGCTTAATGTCTAATTGTCTGAAGAAATAATATGTTGTGCTAAATTTTATTTGTGAGAGAGGAGGTTAGGCGTTGTAAGTGAGTGTGTGTGGCTTTTTGGGGCCCTTTTTTAATTTTTTTTGAGTGCATTTGGACTAAAGGGTCAAGGATGGGTGGGCATAGTGGGGGAGCAATAATATCAAGCTCCTGTGTCATAGGTGTATGTTGTGTATGTTTGTTTTCAGATTTTCTGTGTTTGTGTTTATTCCAGTACAATTCTTTAAGTGTTCATTCCCTAGGGTTGATGGTGGCAGGGTTGAGAACCCCCTGGATTAACCGCTCCCTCCTGAGCTAGTGCGGAACCCCACCATAACGCCGAGTAGGCTGAATGCAACAATATGGCGCCCAAGTTCAAAAGAAAACATTAATGTCTTCCAGACATTAGCCAATAATATGTGCAATAAAATCTACGCACTGTGCAATATACCATAGGAGACAATAGATTTAAGCAAAATATCGCATTTTTTACATGCTTGCGAATATTGCAACCACTTTCTAAGTGATTAAAAAGTGTCAATTGTGCAATATTTAGCATAGAAAGTAAAAAATTAGGATATTCTGTTCCACTGATTAGGGTCTAGTGCAATAGCTTTTGTTCGTGAAGTGTAACAAAATTTGTATTGTTTTATGACCTGTGTTTTGACGTGTATGTGTTTAAATTTTTTAGAGTAGCGACAATATTTTAAGGTTAGCATAGGATAATTACAGTATCTGCGAACCGATGGGCCACAGACTGTATTGCACTAATTTTATCCTTTCGTGAGATCTCTTTTCTTTAAATATTGGAGAAAACTGCCACGGTGCTAATTTCTAAATGGAAAGTTCAATGTTTGTAATTGTAAAGTCCAACTAGTCAATACTCTATGACAACCGTAATAGGCCACTATAAAATAAAATCATGTTTTTTTTTTGTTTGAAAAGCATAGACCACACACACACCTTATTACAGCTGAAAATACTCCTAAACTCCTCTCATATTTGTCATTGTCTTTGAAAAATTAAATTTTGTTTGTTTTGTTAACCTATTGATTTTTATTTGTTTTGTTGTTATTTAACCTATTGATTTATAAATGTTTTGTTTTATTAATATTTACTATTTTTATAACTGTGTGTAATACATTAATCCCTTTTATTGTTTTTTTTTAAATTAATTAGTTTGTAGTTCATTCCATATAATCTTTACAGCCAACCACATAAGTATTTCCATCTTTTCATATATAGTAATATCAATGAACGCAGCTACGGTAGGGAAAAATCGCAGGAAAAGAAATAGATCGTTAGTGTTTGACCTTAGCAGAACTTCAATTGCATCACCAAAACCGAAAACTAAGAAAAAAGAAAAAATGCAAAACGCTAATGTCAACCCAACTGTTCGGGATTTATCAGGTTCAATTAATAACCCTAATCCTAGCACTAGTGCTGCAGCTAAAATGCCTTCTAACATGCCTCAACCCACTGTGCCAATGCAACCAAAAGAAGTTGACCAACTTGTCAGAAGTTTGGTGCAAGATAGTTTGAACCATGCCCAGGCAAATCTGCAGGCTCTGGTTGAAAAGAGCGTGAGCAAGGAAATGGAAAAGGTTTACACTGTAGTAGATAAATTAAATGATGCAATCGCAAAATTGTCGATCAGCAATCAAAGTGCACCACCAATTCAGATGCCTCAACCAATTCCTACATTAAATCCTAAACCCCCTTCCTCACCCCCAAATAGCTTAAATAATCCACCTATAAACCGTACCCATACTATTACCCCATCCTTCATGAGTTTTCAAAATTTTCAAGGTATAAGAATTGAGAGATTTGGGATAAATTTCTCTGGCAGACCCAATACTTTGTCAGTAGAAGACTTTATATACCGGCTAGAACATTTTCAAAAGCTTTACAACCTTCCATGGAAAGATATTTTGAATGAGTTCCATGTTTTAGTTTCAGGCCCTGCTAATGAATGGTTCTGGCTAGAACAAATGAATAACAATATTTCTACTTGGCAGTCATTAAAACATGCCTTGTGTGAAAGGTTTAAAACCAGAAGAACATGCTTCGAAGAAATGCGTGATTTGTTAGAGCGAAAGCAAATGCCAGGAGAATCGATAAACTCGTTCTTCCACGACTTAAACGCAATGAGATCTAAGCTAGAAAGACCAGTTTCGGAATACGAAATGATCTCCCTGGCTAAGAAAAATGTGCGAAAGAATATTTCAGGTATTGTTTATTCGATGCAAGTATCCTCGCTTGAGCAATTGAGAATTGAGTGTATTGAGATTGAAAAGACATTCTTTCGACGCGATCCTGCCCCAGTTACTACTCCTACTTACAATAAACCAGCTCGTGTAAATGCGATGCATGAAGAGAATGACAAAGAAATTTTTCAGGTATTCGATGAACCAGATGAAGTAGTAGATGTTTCAGCAGTCAATGTTCAATTAGTCTGTTGGAATTGCCAAACTCCCGGCCACGGATTCAGGGATTGTCTTTCCACTCAAAGAAATCTATTTTGTTTTAAGTGTGGAAAGCAGAGTACCATTACGCCGAAATGTGCAAATTGTCGATTGGGAAACTCGAGGAAGAACCTGGTTACAGCGGGAAACCACCGTTCTGCCGAGCAGCCCGCCGATCAGAATCCACAATCGATTTAGAAAAAAGTAAAACCGATAAACAAATTTACCCTAAAATTCGACATTATTTACCATTGGAGGTCAGGGAACAAAATTATGAGGAAATAAGGTCAAGAATATTCGGAGAAGATCAAAATGAAATGAATAGCAAGCAATTCAAGAAAAAACAGAGAATTTCAAAACTAAGGCAAAAGCAAAAACAATTTAAATTGCTAAAGAAATCTGTGTCTGAATCAATAGTCCGATGCCAATATAAAACAGATTTAAGACCATATGTTACGATAAAAATTGAAGGAAAGGCAGTTAGAGGTTTATTAGACTCTGGCGCTACAGTCAGTCTACTGGGAAGAAATTGTAGAGAAATAGTGGAAGAGATAGGAACTAATGTAAAACTCTATATTTCAAATGTCACCACTGCTTCTGGTCAACGACACCGCATTTTAGGTACAATTGAAGTCGATGTTGAATATCAAAGTCAGTTAGCTAAAATGACATTGTTTCTATGTCCTGACTTAGAACAGGAATTATATTTAGGGATAGATTTTTGGAAGATATTTGGAATTGCACCCGAAATATTTCCCACAGAAGAAATAAATCTGGAACTTCAGCAAAAAATTCATGGGAATTCAGCTAATGATAATGAAAATATGCATGTTCTAACAGAGGAACAACAGCAACAGCTAAATGAAATTGTAAACAAATTTCCGACATTTGAAAAGAATGGATTGGGATGTACCAAGTTGGAGAAACATGCCATTAAATTGATAGAAGGAGCAAATCCTGTCAAGGACAAACATTACCCTCTGTCGCCCGCCGTACAGGAAATAGTCTATAGAGAACTTGATAACATGATCAAACTAAACGTGATTGAAGAAAGCGATTCACCGTGGAGCAACAGGACTACCGTAGTGCGAAAACCAGGAAAGAACAGATTCTGTTTAGATGCGAGAAAACTCAATGCATTAACCATCAAGGATGCATATCCATTGCAGAACATTGATGGGATATTGAGTCGAATAGATCAAACGCATTATATTAGCAGTGTCGACCTGAAGTACGCGTTTTGGCAAATAGAACTTGAAGAAGAAGCCAAACCGTACACAGCCTTCACAGTACCAGGTCGACCGCTATACCAATTCAGAGTAATGCCGTTTGGTCTATGCAATGCGGCGCAACGACTCTGTCGTTTGATGGATCGAGTAATACCTGGTAAACTGAAGTCCAACGTGTTCATATATTTAGATGATTTACTGATTATATCTGATGAATTTGAAACACACTTGAAATTGTTGAGCGAGGTAGCAGATTGTTTAAAGAGGGCCAACTTAACAATTGGTTTCAAAAAGTCCTCGTTTTGTTTCCGTGAATTGAAGTATCTTGGGTTCATAATCGGAAACGGCTGTTTAAAAACCGACCCGGAAAAAGTCAGCGCAATTCTAAAAATACCGATACCAAAGACTCCAAGAGAAGTAAGAAGCTTTTTAGGAACGGCCGGATGGTACCGTCGTTTCATACAAGATTTCGCTTCCATATCCGCTGCCCTAACTGATACATTAAAAAAGGGGCAGAAATTTACGATGACACCTCAAGCATGTGAATCATTCCGAACACTGAAGAAAGCTCTCACCTCGGCACCAGTGCTTCGACATCCCGATTTTCAGCGAGAATTTTTCATACAGTGTGACGCATCTGAGTACGGAATTGGAGCCGTTCTTTTCCAAAGAGATGATAATGGTTGGGAATATCCAATTGCTTTCTACTCCCAAAAACTAAATTCAAGTCAGAGGAATTATTCGGTAACTGAGAAGGAATGTTTGGCGGCGGTTCTTGCCGTAAAGAGATTTCGACCATACGTGGAATGCATGAAATTCACCATGATCACAGATCACGCAAGTCTCAAGTGGCTTATGTCACTGAAAGATTTAAATGGGAGACTTGCTAGATGGTCTCTGCAGCTTCAAGCTTTTGATTTTTCAATTGAATACCGAAAAGGATCTGAGAATGTTGTGGCTGATACCTTATCCCGTCTGCCAATTGAATCGGAGATAGCAGTAGAAGAAATCACTAACGATGATATTTTGGATTTCGAAACCACCGCGTTTGATAGCGAGGAGTACCTGAAGTTGCGAAAAACAATAATAGAGAATCAAGAAAGACTACCCGATTTAAAAGTCGACAACGACAAAATTTACATAAGAGTGAATAATTTTGATGAAACGACGATGGAATTTGAATGGAAATTGTGGATACCGGAAGAAATTACCTATACGATGATTGAGAAGGCCCACAATTATAATCAGTCTGTCCACGATGGCATAAATAAAACTATGAAACGTTTAAAAACGTATTATTATTGGCCAAAAATGGCATGCCAAGTAAAAAATTACGTGTCCAATTGCCAAGTCTGCAAAGAAACCAAATCGTCAAATTCTATTATGCGACCTACCATAGGAAACGAGGTTATCACAGAAAGGCCATTCCAAAAACTTTATGTAGATTTCCTCGGAAAGTATCCCAGATCTAAAAATGGAAACGCCTACATTTTTATTGTCATGGACCATTTCACTAAATTCATCTTTTTACATGCGATGAGAGAAGCTACCGCTAAAAATGTTGTGGAATTTCTGGAGGACAAAGTATTTCGTGTATTTGGGGTCCCAGAAACAATCCATAGTGACAATGGAAAACAATTTGTCTCAAATATGTTTCAAGAAATGGTTAAGAACTACAAAATAAACCATTTAACGACAGCGTACTACTCTCCACAATCAAATGCGGCAGAGAGAGTGAACCAGTCTGTACTGGCGGCGATAAGGACTTATGTCGAGAAAGATCACCGAGATTGGGACTTATACCTATCTGAAATCGAGCAAGCTCTCCGAACGTCGGTACACTCCGCCACAGGTGTTAACCCATTCTTTGCATTGTTCGGATACAATATGTTTACCAACGGAAATGATTATAGATTAGCCAAGAAACTCAAATCATTCACTGACCACCAAATTATACAATTTAATAGAAAGGATAGATTAGAATTAATGAGAGAAAACATCAAGAAAAACATGCATCAAGCTTATGAGGCCAGTGCCAAAAGGTACAATAGTAGATCACGAAATGTAACTTTTCGTCCAGGCCAGGAAGTCTTTCGTAGGAATCACGTTCTCTCAGATTTCAAGAATAATATAAATGCGAAATTTTGCAAGAAGTTTTTGAAGTGCAGAATTGTGAGACCTATTGGAAACAATATGTATGAGCTGGAGACTCTGCAAGGGAAACCCCTTGGAAACTTCCATGTCAAGGATATAAAAGCTTAAAATGATGTGAGATATAATTACTGTGATATAATTACTTAAGTGCAATATAATTTATAAAATGTATGTCGTGTATGTCTATTTTATAAATTATAATGTGTCGTTGTTTTATACATAGAATTTGTTTTATAAATTTAAGGTTTGTATTATCAAATAGGATGTGGATGTTTTGAGGGTCTTGTGCAATAGATATGCGATTAGAAAGGAAATACGCAATAATAAAAATCTGTGATATAGAATTTACTAGTGCAATATAGGATAATTAAATTAGTTCGTTATTGTCCTAAATTATTTATTTGTATTGCTCAGAATTTTTTTTCTCAGTCGTTATTGTCAACTTTTTTTTTTTAAATTGTATGTCTAAAGCAAAGATAACAGCTAAAGAGCCCGGCTGAATGAGACTTCAGGGTGTGGGAGTTCCCCACGTTGTGGAAAACATAAGTAGAAAGACCAATATTCCATTTAATTCCTTTCAAAATACAATAGCCACCATCTCTGATTGTCTCAAACAACCAAAGTCCGTTTATATTCATGAAAAGTTCCGTAGATTTTTTTTCTAACAACCATTTCCGGTATTAAAGTATTCAATTGTTACCTGGCAACCGATATTTCTCACATTACAATCGTGGAAATTTAGTTGATTTTTGTTAAATTATTTTAAAAGCATAACAGATTTTTCAACTAAGATTAAAAGAGTAATATAATGTGGCAATGTGAATAAGGGAAGAATAAAATCATATCCCCTTTGTATTGCTGTTGATTTTCATTTGTTTTGATTAAATATCTTTTTCCAATATTATCCTTTTTTTTCGGGGAATGCAAAAATATAGTCGATATCATTTGGTTTTTGTTACATATGGCCTTATGATAGTTTGTATTTCATCTCAATTAAAAACCATAGAAGATTTTTTTTATTCTATTCATTTGTAGGTATTCTGTTTTTCCTGTATTTTCAGAAAATTTCCCGAAAGTTGTGTCAATTTTTGTTTTTTTTTTTTATATGTACTCATCTTTTCAGTGTTTGTCTATCAATGAATATCTAATGTTACAACATTTTATCAGCTTACCACTTGCTCTTTGGCAATTTAGCAAAACAAAATTAGATACTTTTCAGCTCAGTTTTGAAGATTCACGAAAAGTTTTTTTGCTCACACAATACTCTGCATTGTCCCATTAAGAATTCAACATTTTATAGTAAAAAGGCATTTGAATTGTTACAAAAGCCTGAGGTAGTAATTTTAGTACTCCAAAAAGAAACACAATTTGTTCACTTTGGCATAATTTTTCTATCAGAACCTTAAATATCGAATTTTCGGCTTTAAGAAAGACTAATTATAATAATTTTTTTCGTCATTTCCATCAAAATGTCTTTAATTTTTTTATCTTCATCCAATACCATAATACTTTTCGTACACTTTTCTAAAAACACTTCTTTTTCATAATCCAGCCACCAACAGATACCCCCAATACATAATTTCCAAATCCCAGATTCAGTCGTTCGTACTAAACCAACATTTTCAAATTCTACACAGTTTGTACACGTATAACACATTTCCATAAAACCATCTTCATACCATGGGAAAAGAATATAGGTACACGCTTGGGAACATTGATATGTCCAAATTTTTATAATGTTTTATGAAAGATAAGTGGATTTTTAAATGTTTTTTATACGACGCAATTTAGAGTTTGTTATAATATGCATTCTTTCACAAAAAATTCTTACAAATTTTATGATTTTTCATTCAACATTTTCAATTCCAATATCGGGGTGACAGTTCATTGTCCCATTGTCGATGCGACTACCTGTATTTTTCTACCAGGCTTCATACATTGGAATAGTTCCCAACGGTAATCCCAACTGTAATCTTTAGTCGCTTCGTCTTGGCGTTGACTCATTTCACTATGTCAATACGCTTTAGTGGGCTTTGCTTGGTTCATTACCAAACGAACACTTTCGGTTTTTATAAAATAATCCACTACAAAAATTATTTTTTACTCACCTGAATTATGTTCTTGAAATACGCCAATCAGCAGTTTACTCCTTATGCAGCGATTTAAAGCCGTTTGGATATCCTATTTTTGTTGGTTGACAATCTGTCTATCCGCACATCAGTTCTTTGTTTAAATTTAATTTTATAATTTTTTTTCATAACACACAAATAAGTTTCAGGCAGATGCACTGTCAATTTTAAATATCACTTGCACTTTATTTTTATACACAACCATGGTCGTTTACCTGAAAAGGAAAAAAGAAAAACATTAGTAAATATGGGAAAAGAAAATGACAACAAAACTATTGTTTTGCAGATGCATAAATACAAAAAAATGACTACCTGCACAATATAGAGACCTGGTTATAAATTGTTTGATGAGTGCGTGCAACTTCGCCAAATTTCTAAAAACAAAAAAAAAAATACAAGGAGTTAGAATGTACAAATACCTTATTTCTTTAAAAATTTACTACCTGTTTTTGGTTTGTCCGATTCCGATGAATGAGCTGCAACAATACACGGCAAAGTCGCGTAGGGATTTATAAATCGACAAACGGCATGAATGGGCGATGTAGTTGAATGAACGGCGTTGCGCACCCTTCATGTGCGTTTACACGACTGCAACTACTTCGTGCATGTGTGTGTGCATGGAATTTTTTTCAATGGATGCAGCGTGCCTGCACACACACATACTTACACATGAGACTCCCAAGAATGAACATGGCATTTTTTTGATTTGTCTGCAATAAAAGAATATAAATTGATTATATTTCTGGGGGGGAATTTATTATAAAAGGGAATTCTTACCTTTGTCCGAAGGAATAAAATGAAACACAAGAAATTTGGTTTGGTCGCGTAGTCATTCCACGCGAAATGGTGGCGAAAAAAAGGACAAACTTACTTAAATCCACAATTTTATATTCCGTTTACGACTGGATGTAAGGATTCACGCACATCACCACTTTTCTTTTTAATTTTTTTCTAAAGTGGTGAAGTTTTGTTGCGTTCATCCTCATTGTAAAATTTTTATAATGTGCAATTTAATGCACCGAACGTGCTGAACGCCAGCCAAAAAAGAGAACCGGATACGCAGGGCGGCCGGCTAAATTTTAAAAAGTGATGCCAAGTTTCATGTTGTTTATTGTACAACATGAGAGACGTGTGGCAAAAATACAACACTGGGGATAATAGTGGGTAGGTAGAACACCTGATAAAGGTAAATAATAAATGTCAGGGAAATTGTGGGAAAATCTTGGAAAAGAGGGAAAGTTTGGTTGAGCGTCCTTGGTGGCCGTATATAAAGCACAGAGAGGGCGAAAAGCGCCATTATTTCAAAGTGGTGTGGAACAGAAACAGTTCAGTCAATTTTTAAATGTTTTTTTTTGTGAATAAAAAAAAAGGAAATACTGAATTGGCAGTTACAATTTGTGTGTTTTATTGTTTTATTTGTGTGGCGTATCTAAACAATTTGTAAGTGTTGATTTGTAAGTGGTGTTATGTCGGATGTGTTGTGTTAAGTTTTTGTGTTCTATTTAGGAATAACGCCGCGCATAAATCCACAATTGGACAACGCCATCCGACTTGGACGAAAAAGAAGCGGGCATCCCCAACAATTATTTTTGTATCGCCAGGTGCGGCACAGGGGTTCCAGGCAACGAAAAGGTTCTGGAAACGGCCAAAGACCTGGGATACTGCCAGTGAATAGCCCTTGGAACAGGCAACATTACCAATCCGGGAAGCTAACCAGTAGATCCCACCTAAAAATCTGTAAAAAGAAGATAAAAAGTTGCCTAAGTATGCCGTTGTGAAGGTAATGTAATTCAAAATTTAAGTTACTTACCAAAGAAAAGAAAGAAAGCCAAATCCCGCTAAAAAAAAAAAAAGTCATATGAAGTTCCTTTTCCTTTGACGGAAACACCACTGAAATAAAAAAAAATATGAAATTCATCAATTAATCCGAATTTGACTAAAAGAAAAAAAGAAGCTATAAAAAAATATTTGTTTGTTAGTGTGAAGTTTAGTATATAAGTTAAACGTATTGTTTGTAGTTAGATAAATAGTGCTTAAGATACAAATGTGAGGAAAATTAATGCCCATTAAATCTTATTGTTAGTGAGTGTAGGGTTGCCTCAAAATTTTACAGCTAGAAAATTTCGATTTTTCTGTTTGGGACAAGGATTTGAAATGCCCAAAAGATTTGTCTAAGTGAGCTCCTTTAGGCAGAAATTTAAAGTACTTGTATTGGCCAAAATTGGCGCTTCTAGCAGGGTAATAAAAAAGGTAATCTGAGTATTGACTCACAATTTTTGTTTTTCGTTCGGGTATTAATAATCCAGTTTTTTTTTATGTGTTCGTGTTGAAATTAGTTTTAAGAGAACGATAATGATTCTAATAAATAAGCTTAATGTCTAATTGTCTGAAGAAATAATATGTTGTGCTAAATTTTATTTGTGAGAGAGGAGGTTAGGCGTTGTAAGTGAGTGTGTGTGGCTTTTTGGGGCCCTTTTTTAATTTTTTTTGAGTGCATTTGGACTAAAGGGTCAAGGATGGGTGGGCATAGTGGGGGAGCAATAATATCAAGCTCCTGTGTCATAGGTGTATGTTGTGTATGTTTGTTTTCAGATTTTCTGTGTTTGTGTTTATTCCAGTACAATTCTTTAAGTGTTCATTCCCTAGGGTTGATGGTGGCAGGGTTGAGAACCCCCTGGATTAACCGCTCCCTCCTGAGCTAGTGCGGAACCCCACCATAACGCCGAGTAGGCTGAATGCAACAAGTTTTACGAAGCTTTTCTACCTCCTTATTGTACCATGCTCAGATTCGATAGTAATTTCCAAATTGAAATCCAATATGATGGCAATATGACTATAATTTAACTATCATAAATAAAGTATAATCGATTTATAAAAGTTAGGGACCCCATAAAGTATATTAATGAGTAGAAATCTTTATTGATTAAATTATGTCCGTGAGCCTCTTCGTTCACCATCTGCAATTACGATAGAGGTCAACAAATTTAATATGCGTCTTTCAAACTTTGCATAGGTTTTTATATTATTGTTAGGATGATTGATGTTACAAAAGGTATATATTTATTTTCATTTAGATATAGCCCTCATATAATATTATCTTCTAATATTCGTCGACCAAATGTGCCTCTTTATATTCATTGTTTCATTGTATTTAATTAAATTTTCAAATCTCAGTTATCAGTACTATAAAGGTCGTAGCAATATTTTCCAAATCAAAAATAATTTAAGAATTCGTAACTTTTAGAAGATCATGGTATTTATTTTTTACCAGTCAATTAAACTATACCCGACTGTGTATGCGGCCGTTCGTTCGTTGAAATCGCAATAAAGGCGAAATATTTAGGTTAATCTTTAAACTACAAAATTCCTAGGAAGTTAAAAAAATATCCGATCCGTTTAGTTATAATAATACCACTAAAAATTCGTCCTTTTGCATGTTTTTGTTACAATTTCTACCTAATCATATGTAAATTGACATTTAAAGTTTTCGTTATTGAGAAATCATTACCGACAACTGGCTACTATTGGTCTCCATTAGGCATAGCCTCAATTTACAAGTACGTTGAAAATTTTAATGTTTTGATGCTTTGAAAAGTATTTTTCAATCAAAATAGCAGCATTGGTATAGCAACCATATAACGGCATCTATAGAAAATATGCAAAATTTCTCGATATTTTCGGTTTTTTTTTCAATAAGAATTTTCAATTCCAAAAGGCATTTTGAAACTATTCTACACAAAACTCCATATCAAAATAGAAAAGTCAATGTTTTCATTCCCGCTATTTTTATAAAGACGTTTTCTCAACATTTTCTCTCAGGAAAACGTTTTCACTGTACAAATAACCAAAATAAAATTTGAGTCAAATCGGCTAAGCCGTTCTCAAATCACGTGTTTCTATACGTGACTGGAGATACGTGACCTGGAGACCCCCGCACGATTTTAACCAGAGGTGCCGCCAAAAGAGGTCCAGCGCTAGAAAAAATCCAATCCGATAGAGAGGCTAAGATTCATATGACGGATATGTCTTCGGACGTGGTGTCTACGTCGGATTCGGACTTTGATGGCCCATCAAATTTTCAAGACGCTGAAGTAAATATGAACAGAAAATATAGACACGTTGTGTTAAAACCTTGTGTCTAAAGGATGTGGATGTGCGCTGCGAACGCTTTCGCTGATAATGCAAATTTGGATGTTGCAGGCTTTGAGGCGAAAATTTTATCCCATTTCGTGTCTAAATGGGGATTAGTCTATCCTGTGGATACCAATATCAGTGATGAAGAAATTTTGAAAGTGACGTGCCAATTCTGAAGATCTTTCGAGTTATGAGTAGGGAAGTTGAGAATTCATTTCCGACGCAAAGAATTACGATTTTTTTTAAAGGCCTGACCTTACGTCTGATACCTTTATTAACGGTGTGGCTCACTTTCAGGTTCACCCATTCATTCCATCTTCAATTTGCTTGAACTGCTATAGACGTAATCATTTTGCAAAGCACTGCAAACAATCTATTCGAACATGTTCTAAATGTCTTATCAAACATAAGGAGGAAGAACAGTGCCCACCGGGTCCAATTAAATGTCCAAATTGCCACCAAAATCCCAGTCCAATGGGCAAGACTTTTCCTGCGAGAGAGAAAGTAATGAACATTAAACGAGCCTTGACAATAGGTGAGGTTAGGCGAAGTATCTGAAGTTCTTTGGAAATAGATTTGAACTATTGGAAGAGGAATGGAATTTCCCCAACTACCAATTCCAAGAAAACCTTTCAATTCTGGAGCAAGACACTTCTCTCAAAACATACAAGAATCGACAAAATACATGCATGCCGCAAATTCGTTTGCGAACAAGTTACGTGAGGAAGAGAACGCCAGAAAAATGCTGCTGGTTCATAAACAAAATTAGAAAAAGGCGAAATCTTTGAATTCTCCAATGGCACTTCCTTGGATCTTACTAGTAAGCATCGTTCAACAGAGTTTGAGAAAATCTTGAATAAAGTTATGATAATGCTAAATGGAGTATTGCTGTCCAGTTCACAGCTGGACAGAGATCAAATGCAAATAATAAACAAACTACGCGAAGAAATTGATTGTTTCCGCATAGATGGTAACGTGGAAACCATTAAGCGAGTCGGCAAGGAACCAAATAATCAAATGTTTTAAAAATAATTAATAATGAAGATCCTTTTATATAACATTATCATAACAACAATAAAGATTTACTTACTTGTGGATGAGAATTGCAAGATGTTTGCGAATGACTTCTTCATCTTAGCAAAATATAGGAGCTTTATTGAAGCCAAAGCTATTTTACAATCAAAACTGATTGAATTTAAGAATCTTTGCGAAACAATCAATCTGAAATTTAATCCGGAAAAAAACGAAAGCAATTCATTTTAGCAGAAAGAGGAGACAATCGGAGTTAAATTGTAATGGTGCAGTCCCAAAGTCTCCAATATAAAATACTTAGGTTTCCACATTGCTGTAATTAATTCGGCACTCGAACACGTTGAATTGACCCTGGAAAATCGTTGCAAATCTACAAAGCTTGCATAAGATCAAAAATGGAATATGCCTTAGCTGCTTTAGCGAATGCGGATAAAAAGTCTTTAACAAGGATCCAAACCACGGCAAATTCCTTCTTGAAAAAGTCTCTTGGCCTTATCAAATCAACCACCACTCATTGTGTGTATCACCTAGCAGCAGAACTTCCTCCGTTGTAACGAATTTTGCTCAATGCGGTGAATGCATACGGTAGACCCATTGTCAGAAATTTGAAAGATGAATTGGAATACGGGATTAAGAAAACTGCAAACAAATACAAGGACATCATTGCTTTTAAATCAAGAAATATCTCTGTTTATAATGACTTCTTTCTGAATATGGCAAAGAAAAAACAGAATTGCAGCCGTGAAGCAATAAACAGTTTATTTCAAGAAAAAATAAGGAAGCTGGAAAATAACAACTTTGAAGTTTTCAGTCTTTAATGCTATTATATCATCTACCTTGGAAAGGAGGGTACATTAACTTTTCATTCCATTTGTAACACACTAAATGTCCATTAAATATGCATATATATTCATAATCAGCATAAAATTCGATTTGTCCGTCTGTATGTCTGTTTGTTTAAATTACGATACAGCCCACATTATTTGACGTATAGCGTCAAAATTTAGCTGAAAAATTGTGTATAGGATGGTTGGTATTGAAAATGATCTATCGGTTCATGTTTTGGTATAGTCCCCATATAAAGGTATCTCTCGATACCTGCCACATTTCTCCCCGGATTTGTCTAACACATATAACGATACCTACCTATATTGAGTATGTTGATAATCTACACATTTACGTGTATAATTGTTTCAAATTTGGTATTTTAGAAGGTTTGATAGATGACAATCCTTGAGGTATAAAATTGTCCACAGAGGTTCCCGTTTTGGTATGGCCCCATATAACGGCCTCATTCACTTTATGGTTTTTTGATAAGTTTAACTGCATTATCCAAACAGTCTTACTGGTATATGAAGCTTAAAGTGAAACACGCTTGAATTCAGATAATTTTATATAAAAATGTTTCCTTTACCCTAAGCTGGATGATATTAAAAGTTCTGCCCGGCCGAACTTAATGCTTTTACTTGTTTTTAAAGTAATATGCATTATTTGTCATTGAAATTGCACGTTGGAGACCCCATAATTTCCATATCTTTTATCATAGTATAATTCAAAGTCCGGTTCCTTAAATCATATGATGATTATACAAAACGTGATCAGTTTCTGCATGGATGGTTCCATGGTTTCTTCCCAAATTAACAACATTTGCCGAAATTAGTATGAAAATATGGTTAAAATGTAAGATATACTTGAAATCGGATTGTATCATAACCCGGGGATTATGACCCATATCACGAACTGCAAAAGTGATTTAAGGTATCGTGAAAGTTTAGAAAGAATTTCTGAAAGAATAGAAATCCTTCTCCCTCTTCTTTTTTGCACCCTTTATATTCGGTGGACGGATTATTGCCATGTGAAAGAAGTAGGTAGGTCCACGTTTTGAAATGAGCCCCATAACGTTTTATCGGTTATTTCTGGTTGTTTAAATGTGTTCGCATCTTCCAGCTGAAGCACGATGTAGATCCCGGAATTGAAAGCTAAATGCCAATTTCAGACATGAAAGATCGCCATTTAATATCGTCATTTAGAATTTAAAACAATAAAAATGTACACTTCTGTATAGTTTTAAAATTGAAAAATTTCACGACAAAAGGATTTTTTCTTTTATATTTTACGCAATTTTTTTTTTTCTTTGCCAGGGTTTCATTCCGAAATTGTATAAATTGTCAAAATCCGTCAAAACGTTCTTGAGTTATAAACATAGTAACTAATAAACAAATTGAAAAAAAA